ATTGCATTAAATGATAAATTGACTATGGAACTTAAAATAAAAATAGGGGAAATAAGTTCTAACAATTTTTATGATATTTGGGGTAAATTTGTAGAATTTGTGTTAGTGAAAGGAAGTGGGAAAACCTCTAAAGAATACTCAATACAATTTTGGAGAGGTAATCTGTAATAAAATATTATTAGAGTCCTGTGGGTATGGGGTACACGTTAGAATTTAGTTTATAATAACCACTATTATTTGTATTTTTTCTGTATTTTTGTTGGTATGTATGTGTTTTTTGGGGGGGGTTGTATTATAAAATAAAAATTAATTACTTAAAAAAAAAGTACAGCTGGACCTTTTCTCTTAAAGGCAGACAAAAGGCCTCGGAAGAAGGATGCATAGATATTTTATAAGGTTTCCACACAAAGAGCCATAAATTGGGACTTTTATATTGGTTCCTTAGACCTCAAACTTGGATCCTCCTCCTCATTGTGTCAAAGATGTTCCGTAGGAATTTTTTATTGGTTCCTTAGACCTCAAACTTGGATCCTCCTCCTCATTGTGTCAAAGATGTTCCGTAGGCCTAGCTTATTGGCTATACCTGATTATCCATACTGTGCCCCCGTGTTCCCTTGACCTAGGGTCATGTTATACACCAATTGTGCCTGCATGTCTGAAGGATTTGTTCCTTGGTCTTCCTTATCTTATTGATATGTTTATGTTACAAAGCTTGGGCCTCAGTATATGGCCTTCAGGAAATAATGTTTCTCCTATTGGTGTCAAAATGTAAATGGTTTGTTTCCCCCTCCAGATTCCGATGGGCCATCTGTGTCCGTTCGTCTTCTAAATTGCTGTCCTCCTTGAGGGAAGAAGTGGTACATTGTTTATGTAAATGAAACCAAACTGCTATCTCCTTGTGGTGAGAGATCTTCCTGATTCTAGGGTCTGAAAGGTCATTGTAGCTAGTATACTTTTAATATGCAGGAATGTAGTGTGGGAACATGTTTGACTGTTACAGAGGTCAGGAGTATCCAGAGAGAGAGGTTTGATACAGAGATTTGATACAGCTAAATGAAATGCATAGATACATAATAAAGCATGAAGTATACATACATTAAAGCAGTGGTTCTTAACCTTTTTGAAAGAAACACCCCCTTCAGCCATTGAGGAAGTTATCATCGCCCCCCTCCCTGAGGTGATGATATCTTACCTACCTACCTACAGGTTGCTTATTGATGAATGGGGTTTGTTTCTCTGGGCCAAGGAGATGTCGGAGTTTGGCAAAGTTACCTACCTACCTACCTACCTACCTACCTAGTCTCCCTCCCCACCCGGGTGCGAGGCAGCGCTTCACAGGGCGAGGACGAGAACCCAAGAGACTCTTTCCTTCTACCCGATCCACACTCAGTGCTCCCCTAAAGGAGAAAGGTGAGACGTGGCAGGTAGAAAGAGCTGGATCATCTGGCGGCAGCAGAAGCACTGGATCTACTGCCAGCACTGTGGCTGCAGTCACCTTCACAGGTTTGGCTCACTCCAGTGCCCCCCTACTGCCCCCTTCTGTTCTTTCACTCCCACACCGCCCCTTTTTGTTCTACCGCCCCCCTGAAAAATGAAATCGCCCCCTGGGGGGCATTATTGCCCACGTTAAGAACCACTGCATTAAAGCATATAAAGCTTAGGCATAGTCATACAGGTTTGATACAGTGTAGGTAGAAAGTATTGGAGTATAGGGGGATAGATTCAGCTGTGAGTTTCAATATACAGTCGTGCTGGTTTATATGTGTGTTACATTGTGACTCCATCTTGTCCCCCTATCAGAAGTATTAATGTTGAGACCCATAAAAGGAAATAAGTTACTGTTAGCGTGGATCAGACTGTACACAGTGGTCTCCAAAATGAATGATGTTAATTATATTCTCCAAAGGCTGGTAGATAAAACCCTATCTGGCTGAGAGAGTTCACTGTGGCATACATGGATGACATTGGTATTTTTAGCCAGACCTGGGAAGAACACAGATCGCATCTAGAGGTCATGTTGCAAAAGTTACATGATGCCGGTTTGACAGTGAAAGCAGCTAAATGTCAAATTGGGAACTCTGAAATAAGGTACCTATGGCATCTAGTCAGAGGGGGATGATCAAACCCTTAAATGCAAAGATAGAAGATATTGATACATCTATCTAGTCACTACACCACATTGTGCATTTATGTACATACATGCATACATACATATATAACCTTTTTTAATTTAACACATATCTTATGCCAACAACATATAGCGACTGAAATAGAGAACAGTCCATGACTGGGGGATGGAATCTTAATAGTTGAGGGGAAAAAATCACCTATTTTGTATTTAGAAAAATAGTTTTTAAAGATTGGTAACTGTGGCGACCGACCTTGTTGCCCCTGTTTATTTGGCCCTCACAAAGGATCACAACCTTTTTCTCTTCTAGCTGCCACCAGGTATTCTCCTAATACCAATTAAGTTATACATACATGCTGCCAAAACTAAAGGTTATTGAACTTAGGAATCAGAGGTTTAATTAATAAATATTATTTTATTGTCAAGTAAATCATAAAGGTAAATCACGTATGACCTGTATCAGGTATTAATAAGGATTGGATCATGTATGCAATCACTTTTTTTCCAAACTACTATATACTTATAATCGATATCTCTCTTATAGTGCTTATAATTTCATTCCTGCTTGTTCAATATTGTTTAACCTTCTCAATTCCCTCCTAACACACTCAGCTCAGTGCTCTAACCCTCTTCCTTCTCTTTCCTAAACCCTAACTGCCATTTCACATTTTCAACTGTCCCTCTTACTCTGTCCCTCCTGCCCTATCCTTGGTTCCTCCCCCTTGAGCTTCTGTGATGGACAGGCAGGAATGACATCACCTGTTGGCATTTTGTTACAGTAACTCACATTTTTTTAAAGAGAACACAAAATAAAGCCATCAGTCTTTTTTTTTCCATAGAGGCAACCAAGGAAGGATTAGAAAGGACAAACAATGCAGTAAAAAAGTTATCGTTTGCAGACCTAGCTCTCAGGTCAAACTGCATACACAGAGGGTTGACCTTGAACCAATCCTACACTCATCTGCCTATTAATTTCATGGAAGCCTCACATGAAACATGACAAACTCATGTTGTGAGAAAGCCCTCATAGGGCTTTGTGCATTTCAATGTTTGTGATTTTAATGGAACCTGTGTACAATCATATGTTCATGCAAAAGAACAGAGCCCACCTTTGGTACAGTTAAGAAGCACAACTAGTGGTTCTTACTGACTAGGCAGTTCTGGAAATTATACTCTCACCACCACCAAAAAAGGCTTTTCTGTCTTGGATTCCAAGCCTCCAAATCTGTTGGTAGGAAGGAATAGGATGGGGCAGCCACATAGCCTCCAGTACTTCTCTGCCATGTTCAGCAGGTTTGGACAGCCCAGAATCAGCCACTTGCCTAAGCCAGTTGGAGTAGGCATTACTCCTCCTGCTGAAGGCCCCGGGGAGAGGGTGGGAAAATGAAATTGGAAAGAACTGGTAGGGCTTTGGAAGTGGCATATGAATGGCAACTTTGTACCCCTTCCATAGGATTGCTTTGTAAGCAATCATGTACAAAGCCAACATGAGGAAATGAAATAAATTCCAACCATGCAACTTGATTTGAGATTTGAAACACTCCTGGTCACGTGTCAAGGCAATAAAATTATTCAGGTAACATAACAAAAGGAACAAACAAAATTCTATGTTGGTCCCATACATCTCAAATTGTATTTCAACTCACAGGGGCCAGGGATTTATCCTTTTAAGCATTTTGCATGCATATCGAAATGACTAGATATGCGGGGTATAAATACAATAAATAATACTATATTATTTGCAGTTGACCCATGTTCACTGTTTATAGACTAATTTATTTCTATTTTTATGTTAAGATTCTGAAGAAGGCCATTTGCTGAAAAGCGTCAAGCTTTTAAAAAAAGAATAAAGTTTGTCACTTCTTTTTTTACATCCTGAGACCCAGTCTCTCACTTGGAATTCTGCCACTAGTGGATGTATCAGTTCCTTGTTTTCTGCATAGCAACAGAACCACAGAAAATTCCTCCACAACCATATCACCAGCATCAGACTGCTTATACATCACAGATACCCAGTTTCCAGGGATTCTGGAAGATTTAAAAAACACAATCTTGTGGGGCCTTGAAGACTAACAATGTATTACAGCAGCTTGAGTCTTCATGGACTTCACTTATCTCATTAAGTGCTATTTTGTAACTTCCATACAGATATGTATATTATATGCTCTGCAGCAAAATTTTGTGCAGCAGCAATGGCACAGCGTTCCCTTATAGTCTCCTGAGTTCACAGTTTGACTGGTTTTAGCATGAGGGTGGTTTATTGTCGAGCATAGAGAAATGTTGTGGTCCCAAGCGAAGGGAGGAAATATTTACAGATCTTTACAAATATGTAGGAAGGACTCCCTATAACCCAAAGACTCTGTCCCAGTTTGCCCTAGACCAGGGGTGTCCAACCTTTCACCTTCCCTGGGCCACATTAGAAGATGAAAATTTGGTTTGGGCCGCACATACATTTGGTTTGGGCCACATGGGGGGGCAGCCCTAGCCATCCACCGCAGCCCCGCTCCAAACGCACTTACTGGCAGCTGCGATCTCAGACAGCAGAGGCTGCCAGCTTCGACTCCGGCGGCTTTATGGGGCTGGGAGGAGGTCCACCTATTGACAGGGATGGTGCAATGCAGTCACGCAGCCCCCTGTCCCCTCCCCCCCACTCCTTCCTTCCCTCTCTCCCCCTCTACTGTTGTGACATGCCCCGGCCACATTCCGGCTGCAAGCACCGGCAGTGTAACTTGAGGTGGCCTTAGCCATTGATTTGGAATTTCTTTAAAAATAAAAAAGTGCACTGGGCCGCATTACGAGCTGACCTGGGCCGCATGCGGCCCTCGGGCCGCAGGTTGGATAAGCCTGCCCTAGACGATCCAATGGTTCAAAGGATAGCTATAAAAACGCTGTATTTGATTCTCCCCATATTTTACAGTGAGTACACAATTAATTATTTGTTGCACACTTTTAAAATTACATTTTGTATATTTTAACCATATAATATGCTTTATGAACTGGCTGTACACTTTTTAAATTGCATTTTGTATATTTTAACCACATGTTTTATGAACTGATTGTATATTTTTAAACTGCATGTTGTATATTTTAGCCACATAATATGTTTTATGAATTGGTTGTATATTTTTAAACTGCATTTTGTATATTTTAGCCATAAATATGTTTTATGAGCTGGTCATCCAACCGTAATAAATACAACATACTGATATGTATAAAGACATTTGGGTGATGAAGGGGAACATAAATGTTTGAGCTCAGACACTACTGAGATAAGAAAGCTGGGTTGTTGTTCTGTGCCTATCAAGTTGCCTCTGATTTCTGGCAATCCTATAAATGAGTGATCTCTAAAATGTCCCATCCTCAACTGCCCTGCTCAGCTCTTGCAAACTCCAGCCTGTGGCTTCCTTTAGGCAGTCAATCCATCTCATATTTGGTCTTCCACTTTGCCTGCTGCCTTCCACCTTTCCTGGCATTATTGTCTTTTCCAGAGAATCTTGCCTTCTCATGATGCGCCCAAAGTCCAGAGAGTACCCCAACAGAATGGATCTGAAATATCCAATAACATCCCCAAGCTGTCTTTGTCAATAGTGTTACAGGACCTGTTCATTTAGCCACTCTAGTCTGTTTCAGCATGTATAATAAAAACAAAACCACTTTTGTGGCTCCTTTAAGACTAACAGATTACTTCAGTCTGAACATTTGTGTGTTACAACCCACTTCCATAGACAAATCTGAAGCCACACTGTACATTCAGATTTCAGATCCATTCTGTTATACAGAAATGTCCTACCCTGTGTGGAATGCAAAGGGACATTGCTAGCAACAAATGGCATAGATTACATGAAATGAAAAAGAGGTAAGTCACTGACATTGTGGATAACATTATGGGGACTCATAATAGTGTTGTCAGAGTAGATGTGGGACACATGTGGCAAGAAGACAAATTATGTTTAAAAATTATCCAGGGCAGCAAGGAGTCAATATCTCACCTCATTGTCTACACTGCACCTCCACAATCTAATACATTACATCTGTACTCAAAAGTCCAACACTACATGCCATGCATGTTGAAATGCACTCCATGTCCACAAAAGCTCATACTGTATATTAAAAAAATAAGTCTTAAATGTGCCCCTTGACTGTTATTTTCCTTAAGGTATGGAAATTGAGAATTTAATCCAAATATTTTTGTTTTCTACTTGTACTTCTACACATTTTAATTATACACCTCTCCTAATTGCACATTTATATCTGGTAGTGTGCTAACAAACGTTGTATTGACAGGGCTATCAGATCTGGACTTCTCCTAAGCAATTAAAAAAAGGTGGTTATTAAGGAATCAGCAATTAAATTGGAGGTTGGTGGTCTGTAGAATAGTATTATTACCTACTAATATCTGCACATCAAATTGCTATAATAGTGTGTAGTAATCATGGGATAACCTGGACATGATAATTCCCAACTTCAGGGGGAAAGATTGTGGGGGTGCCATAGACATATGCAAGATCTGATTTTCAGCAGGGACTGGAAAGTGCTACACTTGAGGAGCTAAACATTACATCCTGAAAATGAATGGTGAAAAAATCAAATGTTATGGGTGGTGCAGCATGAGCAAGAGTATTATCACTGGCTCAACAGAGGCTGGAACCATAAACACACAAGCAGAATAGAATTTATGTTATCTTGGAGGAAATGATTGCACAGATGCTATGCTTACTTGATCTGTATGCCTGAAATGCATTTTTTTTTAAAAAAAAACAACACATTCCTTCATGAAAATTAGATTATATGCACATTTTGTGAATCCTGAACATGATTCCCTGGGAATAAATCTCACTGGACTTGGTGGGATTTACTTCTGAATAAATGTGGTTAGCATCAGGCAATGCATATTGAAGCAGAGGAATATTAAAACTGATTTACCTATCTTTCAGGTTTCAACATCCCTCAGGCTAACATGCTATACCCACTTACCTGGGAGTCAGCTCCAGTAAGACTTGCCTTTGGTCACACTGATAAAGGATTTGAATTATATGCTTCTTTTATTTTTGCAAGGCTCTGCGGAAAGGTTCTTCTTTCCATAAAGCAATTTAACAAGAGGGTGAGAAATGTCTTGGTTGAGGGTGGTGATAAATCTTCTGCTGTCTCAGGAAGTGCTGTTATCAAGTGAGGTGATCTGCATGAAAAAAAATGAGTAAGTTAGCACCAATGTTTCTTTCACCCTATGATGCAAATGATACACATACGCACACCTTAATCCTTTGAAATGTGCCAAGCTCATTTCTAAATGAGCTTGGCACATATAGCCTGTTTCAGCAATCTGAAGTTATTTTTTCTTTTTTTCAAGCTCTCCAATGTGGCTGCTGAGGTGCTAACTTTTGGAAATGGACAAGAAATAGTGGTTATACATCATATTTAATAGAATGCTTTGGCAAAAACAACCATTTCCATGGTCAAGATTATTTTACAATATTTACTCAGAAGGAAGCATCACTGAATAGATGTACGTAGCTGCCTTCTTTTGTGACAGTTAACTGACCCATGTAGTCCTAGAACTCCTTCCCCTGTTGGGCACAAGTTCTGTAAGGTCTCAATCAGAGAAAGATACTCCCTTACACTCTCAGTACAGTAGTTTTACCTTATTTGCTGAAGGGAGGCTAGTGTCTAATGAGATCCTCCCAATACGATTCTCCTAACCCACCATTTTTGCTCTTAGTCCCCCCCCCCATCTCTCTGCATACACTACTGCAGTGCTAGCTGTCAGACCACCCTCTTCTCATTGTGGATACTTTTTTTTTTGCACAAGTGCTCTCTGAAGTGATGAAAGAGATCTGTCATAGCATGTGGTTTTCTTCGCTAGAGTATCCTTTATTTTGTGATAGGTTATTTTGTGAAAAGTTAATTTGCAAGTCTGAATGCTCAAGCACTATCTCTCTTATTTACTGTGGGAAGGAATGTGGATTTAATTGTAGGGTGTATGCATGCTTCTTAATGTTTAGTTTGGCCTCAGGTTGGCTGGGCTAACAATATATGTCCTTTCATTGTTGTGCATAGTAGTTATATTTATGGAACACAGAAGTGTCGGGACACACTTATAAAAGTTATGTAACAAAAAACTTTATAGTCCACCATTAACTCAACTATCTTACATTAGGTGTGGAAGTTTCATATATTAAACTGAACATGTGTTCACAATATATATGTGCTCCTTCAGATGGTTGTGAACGTCTAAGCTCTAAACCTGACCTGTTGAGGTATTTACAAAAAATCAGCACCTAAGTGGGGAGGGATTACATTACCCCAGCTCCCTTTGTCTTTACTTTTCTCACATGGAAAATGTCTGGAGAGACCCTGCTACTATGAAGGCTCTCTATGTGTTTGGAAATCTTCAAATATTGAGGTTTCTGGTTATCTGAATAAATTCTTTATGTGGAGGACAGTGTTCTTTTCAGAATACCACCCTTCACAGAGAGTGATGATGGAGGGATTGGGACTAATGTGTGTCCTCCTCTTGCAGTTGTTATAGCTCCTTTATGAACTTTTTGGGAGAGATAATACAGCTTTCTTGAACCTGAACTCAAGCCTCATTTATAATCAGATAGAAGAAACTTCCTTCATTCAGGGTGCAGATCAAATGCATACAGTGTACTGTATTGAATGAAAATATATGTGATTGTGTGAGCTGATGAATCTGATGAATTTGCTGCCCACACTACCCAAAGGTCTCTGAGTGGCTTACAACTTTATGTACAGTTGTAAGTATAGTCCTCTGCAGGATGCCTCGAGCACAACCTCTTTGTTTCTGAGAAGCTGGTACAGAAGATAAAAAGTTTGTGATTGTTGTGAGATACTGTAATTCTGTGGTTCTCTTTTGGAGGGTGTTTTGGGGTTTTTTTAGTGTGTAGCTGACCACAAAATGTTCAATTGGAAAAAATGATGCAGTTGAAAGAAGGTTGATGTGCAGTTGCAGAAACAGAGTTTTTTTTAAAAAAAAAACACCCACGTTTTAGGCACCTGTTTGTTAATTGATGGACAGTGTCATGTAACGATATTTATATAAGGCTTAGAAAGTGTGCCCAACCCATGTTTTAAACAACTTTTTGTTTTTGTTCTTTTTGGCCCAAACTTCCTTTTTCACCTTCATCAGTACTGAAAATCTGCACTCCCTACTGACTAGAGTGTAACATATTAAAGCAATTATTCCCAACCTTGGGTCCC